GAGTACCATTGCTCTAGGAATGAAAAGAGCTCAGAACCTGGTGAAGGGGTTTGTAGTTTACTTTGATATCTATAACTATCTAAATTACATATATTACCATGGATTTTAAAAAGTTAGTCATTAGCAAATTAACACACAAGAACATATATACTTGTAGTCCCCTAAATTAGCATGTCTTACATTTACTATTTAAATTGTAAAGTAGTTGAGTATCTGGAGTTTTCCTTTAGCAAGTTTACCTACCCAGCTAGCTATACAGCCTCTGGAAAATGTGTGCATCGTGTGCCTTAGAATGAGTGAGAACAACACAGCCTGTTCAGAGGGTCAGCCTCTTCCTAAAAGATTGGAGTTCTGGGTGGTGATGGATGTGGATACTGGGTAAAAATTAAAATTACCTTCGGCCTTCATAGCCTAGGCCTTTTCATATAACAGTATGGATATTTTTGTCCTTTTGCTTTTTTTTCCAAAATGTCTTTGACAAGTAAATATAAATTCACAACAGGTTGTAAACTTCTCTTGGGTAATTAACAAAATAATGGGTGTTCTAATCTACATTGTTTTTTGTCAGTGATGCCCATTAATAAATTTTGCAACTGTCTATTTTGTTATCATGCTTTCTTTGTTTAGCTTCCATTCTTCCCCTATCAACATTTTCATATGGAAAGTCACTTTTCTTTTCTGTTTTTTTTACAAAATAGTACTTCCGTTTCTCTTAACTCAGAAAGCTAGTTTGTACCAGTAGATAGCTATGCTAAACATTAAAAAGAATGTTTTAGTTAACAGGCTGATGTCTACAACTTAGAAAATACTCTTGAACAGAGTCTAAGTAGGTCTGACTTTACCATTTAATGTTATTTGTTTTAATTATAGAGTTCTTAGACCACAGAACAAAGTTGTATATATCAGATATTTTGTGCATGTAAACAGCTTTCATTTGTAAATGATTGTACACACATGTATGTATGTATGTATGTATGTATAATACATACACACAGTCCACTTAATATTAGGCATGGTGGTGAGTGTTGTATTATCTTTCATTCTGAAAAAATACAGAAAACTAACAAGGGTAAGTGAGCCTTTTGGATCCTCAGCATTTTATGAGGCACTCTACTTTCCCCTACACACACAATGAGAAACCAACTAGGGTGTCTTGCCACTAAGTGTGTTTTTAAAGGCATACAGAAAAGAAAAGGAAAAATCCATGGTAAAAATCCTTAATTTACTTATCTCGGTGGGAGTAAACCTACATTGCAAAACTAACCATTTTACCTACTGTGTTGTTCTCACTCATTCTAAGGCACACGATGCACACATTTTCCAGAGGCTATAGAGCTAGCTGGAATACTTTGCTTAATATAAGTGTTCTTCCTAAAAAAAATTTTAAAAATCCCCGCTGCCACCATTTTGTTTCTTGAAGAGTCTACCATATTCTTGGCCCTTCCAAATGAAGTCATTTGTGTATTTGCTTTCTTATTAAAGCTTTTCCTTTTGAAAACCTGTCTTGGTCTGCAAGCTTCCAAACCATCTCTTGCAGGTGCTATAATATATTACTGTTTAATTTTGAAAGTATACATATTTTTCTAACTGGAAGATAATTGTTGTGTGTCTCATGTATAACATACAGATGATAATGACTATGTTAAATATGCAGATAATGTTGTGAAAGAATGCCGGGTGATTGTTAGTAACTGTTGTCAGTTATAAACTCCCAATAAAAGGAAGAGTCATACAATCTCAGTTTTTAAATCTGTAGGGTCTTAACTTCATTCTCCAAAATATACCCAAAGTATACTTATTGTTGTTTGTCTAGGAGGAAATACAAACAATATATTCATGTACATGGTCAAAATGATCTTCTCAAGGCAGCCATTGTAGCATTGTTTTCTACTTAGTATTCATCAGTTTTCACCTGCCTTCACAAACTAAACCCAAGCTAACTAAAAGCCAATCCATATTAAATACCACCTTTGCTATGTTAGTGGAAAAATTCTTTGCATAGGAAAACAAGTAAAAATGGCAGTTACAAGATGTTTTCAGTCATTTGATTCAACAAAAGAAACACCAGATGATAGAACAGAAAATTTGTAAGAGCCAGCAATGTCCTGACTCTTAGGAGGAGACATTGTGATACAAATGCCTACCTAGGGCTCTAACATTCCATAGTCTCTTACTCTATGTACTTTGACCAGTCATAGGTCTCCAATGTTAATCACCATCTCCTGAAATAGAGCTTTCTCTGAAGAGATTTGTGAGGCACATTAATCTATGGGTATAAGTCATTAGGAGTCAGTTTAGTTCCATGTAGCAGAGTGAAAGCAGTTTGCTCTCCACTAAGGCCAATAACTTGACTAGACACATAGTTTCCTGGCCTCATAATGATGCTACTATGGTTTATCTTGTGGGATAGAAATTAAGTTTAATCAGATATGGATGGTCATGCTTCCATGATATTTGTGCCATTATTACACCCATGGACATATGATTATTGAAGCTCATATGATTCATAGCTATGAATGATTCATGATTACTTTCCTCTGTTGGTACTGTGTATAATCTTTCATATCACAGAGAAAGAACAAGAACTAGCTAATAGGGATAAAGCTTCCTGGTGACAACCAGCTGGATACCTTCATGTTCTATATCTCACGTATGTATACCATTAGCAAGTGTCAATATGAAATATACTAAATATTTTAAATAAATACATATTAAAATATATATATAAAAAAAAGAAACACCAGATGAACAAAAACATTAAAAGTGTCCTGGCTCACACCTTTAGAGTCAGAAATTGGGAGGCAGAGGCAGACAGATCTCTTGAGTTCAGGGCTAGCCTGGTCTGCACTGAATTCAGGACAGTCAGGCTACAACAAGTGAAACCCTTTCTCTAAAAACAAAGTTTTCATTTATCTTTTTCATACCATAAAACTCACTCATGAAACCCATCCACGGTCATCTCTGTTCTACTTTTGCATCAGTATTTAGTGTTAAACCTGTGCCAGCTTTGACATCTTGCATCCTGTTTGCCCGGCACTTACTGTAATTTGTGTATAAACATTTTTGTTGCTAATCTTATTAATAACTGGGGCTAGGAAATGGCTGCTGGCTTGCTTACTGGGCAAGTATGAGAACCTGAATTCAATGCCCTCCCTGTACCTACATTTTAAAAGTGGACCTTTAATCCCACAGCTGTGAAGACAGTCAGAGGAGACTCAGAAACTTGATATCCACCCAGTTCCACTTAATCAGCAAAGCCCAGTTTTCATGAGGTATCGATCCTACCTTAAGAACTTCAGCCTCTGCCCTCCACACACTCATGCAAGTACAAATACTTAAACATGCACACACACACATACATACACACACAACTATTGCTAAGTAATGGGCAATCCTTAATTCTTTTGATAATGTTTTATTTATAAAAAGAATAATCTTAGTAAGAACTTTTATCAGTGTCCTAATTCTACAAAGTCGTCTTCTGTGTATATTAAGGTGATTGTTGTGGATGTTGTTGTTGCTGTCTTCTTTAAGATTTTTCCTTTGATCCTAATGTAGCACATTTCGTTTTAAGCTTAGAAATCTGAAGGTTGTTCTAGTTCCTATCGTAATAGTCTCTTTTCTGTTTTGTGTTTCATTTGGTTAGTGTGACTGAAGGGGTGTGTGTGTGGGTGTGTGTGTGGGTGTGTGTGTTGATCTGTACTCTCTGTACATTTCTTAATTCTCTTGCAATTTATAATCATTTTATCACTAGCTTCTGAAGTTTTCAAGTAAGCCCCACTCACAAGTAGCAATTTTACCTTTGAAAAATAATTACAACAGATTCCTCCTGGTTTTTAGAAAATGTTTCTTAATTAACTAAGTAGACATAACGTTGACTGCTGAATGGAATTGATGTATTTTATCCATCTGCTTTTAATAGAATAGATTTTATGATATACAATGATATTCCTACAACTTCTTAAAAGTGTTTTTAGTGAATCATCTCTTTGAATTTGTACTGTGCTTCAGACAGGTGGCCAGATGTTAGAGGCGGTATAATAGTGTAGTGTTCACACTTAAGGGGTGAATTTTATAATGAAAGTGTCTCTTGCTGTGGGAGGCATAGAGAAGAATTTCCCAAGAGAAAGCTTGGGTGTGCACCTACAATCCCAGCACTTGGTAGGCAAATGCAGAAGGATCTCTAGTTCAGGAGTAGCCTAGCCTAGAAAACGTATATGAAATACAGAGGGAGGACAGGTGGATTCCAGGCGACTTCTCACAAAGCTGAGCCTGGAGTCTACAGAGAGGGCTCAGCAGTTGAGACCACTTGTTGCTCTTGAAGAGGATCTGAGTATTAAAGAATGAGCCAAACTTCAGCTTATTTAGATTTAAAGTGTATGATTTCTTGTTTGCCTATTTAAATATATAGTTCTTAGGATTCCTATTTGAACTTTTAGAATGGAAGGAACTATTACATAACAAATAACAGTGTAAAGAAAAGCAAGTGCTTTTCTTTCACCAATGTCTAATAATCTTACTAGTTGTCAGGGCTTGGAACATGATCTCATAATTTTAAACATGCTTTTTCCAGGCAAAATTTGCTTGAAAGAAACTTTAGTCAGTATTTAATATTTCTCCTTGGCTCTATCCAGGTCTGTAAATACCAAATGAAGACTAAGAGGCCAGTGATTGCACTAGGGTCATAGAGTCAGCCACTGTTGGTGTGTGGAGACTACATTTTCTTGTCTAGAACTCTGCCTACCTTAAACATTCTGTGCTAATTGTATACTGAGTCCACTTTGCTTGGATGTTTTGAATTCGTGACATTTAAGTTCATGAGTTTACATCGTCTACTGCATCTCCAGTATTCTCTACCCTAAAAAATGGAAGGAAAGACTTCATGATAGTGGATTCCGTGTTGTACAACATCCTGTTTACCTGTAATGCAGAATTGTCTAACATGTTTTGCATTGGAGGTTTCTCTTGTGATATTAATTTATTTTTTTTTCTCTTTATAGTCTGCCATCTTCAATTTTCAGAGTCTGTTGACTGTAATCTTGCTACTTATATGTACGTGTGCTTATATCCGATCCCTGGCACCCAGCATCCTGGACAGAAATAAAACTGGGTATGTTGCAAATGATGATCAGTGAAGACAGTTGTTATCAACATCAAATGTAAATTACTATGAAAGTCATTAGGCAGTTTAATTCTATTTATAACAGTTTTCAGTAACTTCGTACGTTTTCTTCATGTTTTAAAGCACCAAAATGTATTTGCAGTATCTTACTAAATTACTGAATAAATCTCCAGAGTGTTTGGTGTGACCTAAAATTTCACCCACTGAATAAAAGCAGAGGAAGGATTTATTCGACTGCTGGTAAAACATTAAATTGTTATAGCAATCTGTTGTTATAGAAATGCCCTGTTAACCTTAGAGACAGTTTTCCCCATTTCTACCATCTTCTCTGAGCTATTATACATGATTTTTTGCATTTTATTCTAGTTTATTAGTAATGTGGAATTATAATATATGTAAGGCCTGATAAATAAGAGTTCATCATTAAACAATAATCACTATTAAAATTATAATTGAGTACTTTTCCAGTACTATCATGAAATCATTCCTTCAAAGGGAAGCTGCATGTGGACATGTCTGCCCCTCTTTTTTCTTGGGGAGCAGGAATGTATCCATAACATGCTACAGTGATCAAGGAGTTCTCAGGGCTACCAACCTTACAGTAGAGGTTGAGTAGTAGTATATTTCTCCTACATTAACGGTCCCCAAAAGGCTTTCCTGTCTTTATAGTTCAGAATATAAGCTAATGCAGTCATCTGGGTGGTTGGAAACAATTCTATTTCATTATAGATAAAAATATATATACTACTTCTCTTTAACAATAGCTATTAGATTCTTTTCTTACATGTTTTCTCTGAGACTTATAAATTTGTAATCATATATACCAGGTTAGATGGAGACCCCTAGATATCTGGAGTAGTACAGTTTTGATGACTTCCTTTTTAAATGTAACTTCATTTTCTGATGATTGAAATGATCTAGAACAAGGCAGTGCTGGAAAATCGCTTCTTACGTTTTCCTTGTTAGCATATGCATATACATTCAAGCCATAGAAATTAGACACCAAATTGTAGTGGTTTTTAGCAATTAACAAGGTTCCTTTAAAAAAAATAATAATTACTCAACCAGAGTAGCTTTAAATCATTAGTGTTTATTGTGACCCTTAGGTACCCAGACACAAACACACATGACTGCATAGATAACCACAGTTATCGACTCTGGTGGAGAATAAATGAATTCTGAGTAACACTGTCATTTGTTCCTTTCGTCCTAACATTACTAAGCGTAGCACATGTTGCTCCTCTAAAGACTATCTAATCATTCCTTTATTCCTGATGAAATCCTCTGAGCCATCTATGCTCATCTGTTATTAAAGAGATAAAGCATCTCCTCCCAGTCACACAACAAGTAGGACTGAAGTAATGCACTTTGGCCTTGTTAGTAACTCAGGTTATTTTCAGAACTTGGGTTATTTGCCTGTTAGCTTTCTCTTCACACATAATGACTCATTAATTTATGTATTTCTTTGAAAGAAAAAGTATTATAAATATCCCTGAAATTTAAGTTTTGTGATTTTTATTGAGCAAATCCTAATATAAAGAATACGTAAAGTTGATTTTTCTTAACTAGTACTCTTATAAATATCATTATAAAACTATATAAACATAGTTATAGATATATATGTAATATCTCAGACAAAATAATATTTGTGCTGTTTGTGTAACGTTTCTGTTGATGGTTCATTTACCAAAGCTGTTGCTTGTTTTTGCGTTCTACATAAATATGTCCATTTATATGGTTGTATTTAATTCATACTTTTTTATTCATGGAATTAAAAAGAGCATCTTCATTTTAATTATCGTCCCTGGAATATATATTTTAGTTGTCACATTCAGTAAGCTCATACACTTGGTTTCACATAAATGACGACTTTTCGTTATATTAACAACATAGCAGCTGATTTATGAATCTTTCCTCATGGACTAGCACAAATGAGAACTGCCCCTAGAATATACAATATAGGTAATAACACAGAGCTGTATTCTGCAAGATATAAATCTAGTATATTACAAAAACTCAAAAAAAATACTATATCAAAAAAACTATCGTTTTCTCAAATTAATACTACAATTGGTATGTAGTGTTTCTGCCTTTGAAAGTGTTAAGGAACTTGAAGTTAAATGAATTAATTGACTGACTCTTTATATAAATTTTAGCTACTCTCACATTAATATACCCTAATTTTGACCTATGATACACATATATTCCAGTTAACAGTTGCTTCTGTTTAGTGGTGGTTCATAGTGTATCCTGTCCTGTTGTCATAAGTGAGTGGTGCTCAATGTCAGACAAACACATTTCAGATGTGGAGCAGAGATCACAGCTTAAAATCTAGTATACAAAATGAATGATCTCTCTGATGGTAACAGAAATCATTGACTTTCTCAGTATCCAGTAATTGTTTTTGTTCTTTTTTTTATACTGCAGACTATTGGGAATATTTTGGAAGTGTGCTCGAATTGGTAAGTATCTAATCACCATCCATTTCTTCAACTATAAATTATTGGCCACTTTATTTATATTATACTCACGGCAATCAAATGTCTATTTCCAAGTGTAGGATCCTCAATTCTGTATACTTTTGCAAGAGCTTACTGAATTCTAATTGTTTTTCTTTCTGCTACTTAAAACTGGATGTAACTGGAGACTACAATATTTTATTGACAGAGAGATGGAAAACATAGAAGAAACCGTACTAAATTTAGGCATCTGATCCCATGAGTTTCTGGGCTTACAGCAAATTCGCCCAGTATCTGTAATATGTGTCTATACCATGCTCTTCTGGATCATGTGTGCTATTCTGTTCATTTATACATCAGGATTGAAGTGTTTGATGCATTTTTTAAATTGTTATTTTGCATAAGGATGAAGGTGCACATCCTACAATTTACGTACAATTATAAGTACAACTTATAATGGTTACTTTTCTCCTTACAACACATGGTTCCTGAAGAAGCCTGTACAGAGACTTGTCTGGCACTCAGTCATGAATAATGGCTTCAAAACTTAAAATAACAGAAGAAATCTTGAAAAGGAACCAAGAAGAGAAACAGATTACCACCATCAGTGCTTAATACTCACAGCATTAAGTAAACCAAACTGCCGAGGAAACAAGTCACCCTGAAAAAGAAAATGTATCTAGTGAAGGGTATTGCCAAGAACACAGTAGTTAAGAACCTGAGTACACTGGAGAGACAGACGGCAGAGGGAAAGTTTCCGTCTCCACCATGGAAAGCCTCTAACTGCTAAGAAAACACTCAGGTGGTTTCGGTTCATTTTTTGTAGGAATTAGACATGAGAACAATTCTATGTAGTAGCCAACCCAAGTGCCCTGTTGTTTGTGATTATGACCTCAAATACAGTCTTTTTTTCCTAACTATAAAAGTCTTTTCTTTTTGTGTTTATATCCCCCTCCCCAAGCGTTCCTCCTTACAAGTATCTGAAAGCATTTGTTCTGTTTTAACAAGATGATTTGGAAACACTGGTGCTGATACACTGTGGTTTTCAGGCACCTGCTCCTCTCTACTCTTGACACACACAAAAGCTTTTTTTTTTTTCCTCCAGGAAGAATAGCTGTGATTTTAATAGGACAGAGCTAGTCAAATCATCTTATTACAAATCAAATGACAGCAACTGTTTCACATTCACTTGCTTCACTTGCACAAACTCCAACCAGACAAGAAATAACATTCTTACTCAAGTTCAACTAAAGACATTTAGCTCTACCACATGGCAATCTCTTTTAAGAAAATGAAAAACATGAAAATGAACCCCATCTGTAAATTATAGCATTCTAAGTCATAAGATGAGGAAGGAACTTCCTCAAGAATTAATACTGAGCAGATGGAAAACTCAGTACAAGGATAATTGCTCCCTTTGGGTGTTTACTGTGACGATGCTAAGAAGTGAACATCCCAGCCCTGAAAAGAGTAACAGGCATTTATAGCATCTACATAAAGTCAGTGGCTAGGGGAGGTGCTTCATGAGACTTCAGCCCTCATGAGTTACCATCATGAACCAGTGTGTTCTGTTTTATAATGATTTTTTTTATTTGAACTGATGTTACTCTAAAACCTTTTCATTATAGATCCTCCTTTAATTAGAAGGCAGTCTATCTATTAAGTGTCTATCGAGGGGGGAGGAGGGCAGAGGTAAAAAAAAAAAAAAACTTCAGAATACCAAATCTGTGTTTTTTATTTTGTTTTCTTTTTGTATGGTTTAACTTGGTATTTTTGTTGGTTTTGGTTTGGTTTAGTTTGTTTTGGTTTAGATTTGAGGACAGGGTCTTGATACTGTGGACACATTGATTGGCTGATTTTTCTGGAGGATAGGATTATAAGCCATGATCACATGCCTGGCTGAATGTCTGCTTCTTCAATATATGTGATTTCAATCATTTGACAGACACAAATATATAAATATGGTAATATATCAATGTGGGCTCAGTGGACAAGCTCTTAACATAAAATGAGTTTGAGAATTATAGTTAGCGAGGCAAGTCAAGGTTGACAAGCCAAGAAAGTGAACATCTAAGGTGAAATAAGGAACTTGGTTATAGGGAAATGGAATTTAGACAGCACTGCAGTGAGGCTAAATCAGAGCCATCTCTTGTAGGCTTGCAAAGGATCCAGATGTTCCACAGCTGTTTCTAACTCATTTCTTATGCCTGGTACCCTGGAATTAGTACAGCTTACAGATACTAAAGAAACAACAATTCCCTTATAGGGTCTGTGGACTGGCAGGATATTTTCACCAGCTGACATCAGATCTGGATCAGGGGAAGGAAAGCCTCCAAATACAGCCATTCTTAAACTAGTGTGGAATTGACTCATTATAGAAGCTTTGAATTTAATTTCTACTTTTAACTTTTTAATTTATTGAAATACTGAGATTTTAGAAACTGAGAATGGGGATAATACAATATTTCAGACTTCTGAGAATTTCTAAATTTTTTAGGGATGCTCAACCAATGATATCTAGACAGGTGTTCCAAAATCTCTGAAATGGAGGGACTAATCATCCCAAGCATTACGGATAGGAATGTTGGCTGTAAAAGACTCTATGCCGTGTCTGTATCAGAAGTAGTTGTTTGGGGGAGAAAAGACAGCGGAGCTAATGCCTATTTGTTTCAATGGGTAATATTGGCTATGTTGGCTGTCTAGCTTGTTTTCACATGCAAGTGCTTTCTAAACTCTACAAGTGGCATGAACTCTACCACAATGTAAAGAAGATATTGCTGAATGCTGTGCAGTAGATTCCTGTGTATAGGTAGAAATTCCCTTATCTCAGGAAGAGAACTAACTAGCCTTTGGCTCTGAGTTGCTGGAGAGCATGTCCATGGCTCTAGGGGCACAACATTGATGCTTTCAAGTGTACGTCTCATAATAACTTGGATGTAGCAGCTAGTCATGTCCAACCAGCCCTTTTACATTGAGACATGACATTGACATCTACATAGTTCACACTTGCACACTACATAGTAGAGTTAGAATAATAATATCTCGTGTGCCAGCAAATGGTTCAGCAGGAAGAGGCTCTAGCCTGATAACCTGAGTTCAGTATCCAAAATTCATACAAAGTCAGAAAGAAAACCCTGGCTGACGTTGTCCTCTCACCACATGTGCACTGATACATGATTCCTACACAGATACAGCACATGGGAAGAGTGGCTGTGGGTTTGCTTCAGATCCCTTAAGGTTATTGCCTTGTGTTGGGCGGGCGCAGTTTTGTCTTGATTTGTAGTGTCCCTGAGTCCTTGTTTTCCCTCTCTTACAGTAGCAACCTTATCATATGCATGTTAGTCATTCATTCAACCAAGAGGAATGTCTTCTTTTCTTCAACAGGTGAACGCAAGAGTCCTTATGTCGCCATATGCTGTATAGTGATGGCCTTCAGCATCCTCTTCATACAGTAGCTTTGGAAACTACCAGCATGTGATTGCCATCAGACTGTAAACAAGGACTTGGCCTCCAGAAAATAATGGGAAGAATGGTTAAGCTGTTTTTCTCTGAACATGGAATGAGATAAATTTCAAGATGCTGTTCTCTATTTTTATGCTATTGGACCAATGAGCTGTATGAATAATTAAGATGTAACAGTTTAATACACAGGAATGTGATTGTAGCCATCAACCTCGGTTCTCTCACTCCAGTATTACACTCTGCAAATGTCATTCTGTTCTGTCAGGACTGCTTTTCCTAAGGTTCTCGAGGAATGAAGTAGAAACCCAGTGGCAAATTCCACAGGCTTTGACTAAGGCTTCAAAATAATGTCTTCACAGAATGAGACCTTTTAGTGACTGGCCTATTTTTATTGAGAAAAAAAAAAAATTGTTCTATTTTTGTTGCTGTTACTGTTCTTATGGATTGCATTCATATTTAAACCCTTGTGATTGCTAACCAGAGTACCTCTATTGTTGGCAAATTCTGTAATTTATTACAGGTGTTTAAAATATTTTAAACAAAACTCTGTATTTCTTTAATTAGCATAAGAGTTGGGCTTCTAGTCACAAAACTATAGCTGTCATCCTATGACAGAAGAGTATCTTAGAATGAAAAACAGCAAGTAGAATGATGAGCGAGTAAGTGTCATGCCTTTTTTGTTCTCTGTAGTGTTAAGTCTTCCAAATAGATCATCCACTGTAGTTACCCACATGTGTAATTTGTGGTATTTGTAAAGCAGCACTTTAAATCTAGTTCATGTTCTGTCAGCTTGAACTGGAATCTCCTTTGTAACTTTGTAGGTGATGAACACATATCTGCTTAGACTGGGTACTATGCTCTAAGTATATTTCAGCTTTGACACAGAGTGTGGATAGACTTGAATGAAGCATACATGTCAAAGGATACATACTAGTTTGTGTCAAACATTTCTTCAGGTTCAGCTGAAAATTAGTTACTATTTCAAAGCAAAGAGGAATTAAACCCTAGCTGAAAACACTACTATACATAGCATTTATAATTACTGGGTTTGACTGCTTTTTTAAAACTTAAAAAGAAAAAAAGAACTTAAAAGTGAAGTTTCTATAAAAAGAAAGCATTGTACTCAAAGCCTTGTTTTAAAGCAGTATATCACTGTGTAGCCCAGCTAGCCACCAGAGCTAGCTAGACCACCAGCTTTGAAAGAGTGTCCTAAGCTGTACGGATTACAGTCCAGTCTAGCATCTAGGAAAACATACTTGGTGGGTTTTAGGGGTTGCTTGTTTTTCAAAAAGATCTTTGGAATGTCTATAGCTAGTTAAAACTGATCTACTTTACTTTGAATGGGAAAACAGGTTATAATTATTCTACTCTGAACTTCACCTTGGACTTTGTATTAGGTCAAGGATTTTCACTGTGTCCCAAAAGTAGGACTCCCTTGTCAGCATATTTGTGCACAGTAAGTAGTCACCTTTCAGAGTTTGATTTCTGGGTGGCCATCTGTTCATCAACTGAATTTTCCAGAAATGTTCTCGACTTTTTTCCTAAGTTAACACACATCTCATATAAAAATGGAGAGAATAAAGAATCTAATCTAATATGTTCTCTTTAGTTTGACATTTTAGACAATATAAGTGGAAATCAGAGGAAGACATAGTTAACTTGAAACATCCATGGTTACATAAAACTTTTATATCTGTAGATGTTGAGCAGGCCAGAAAGGTATTTCCAGCCCCTACCATCCTGATTTTTTAAATTACAGGCTCTTTGGGGTTGTAGGAAGGCTACAAAGATAAAGAATCTTATAAAGAAAGGCAATTGGCATTTTTGATGTGCAAGCAGTGACTCCTGTTTTCTAAGCCACAGGGTCCTGTGTGAGGTGTGAAGTCCATAGAATATTTAGCTCTCTTTGTTAGTGGAATGTGGAGGAGCAATAAAGGACTCCAGGCAGCTGGCATCTGCACAGACTGTAAACACACAGCTTAGTAGGCGAGGAGCACTAAGACCCAGGTTTGGCAATATCCAGATGTTCTCTCTGGCTACCTTGTTGGCTCTAGAATCTTGAATCCATGTCCCCAGATTTGTTTTATGTTGATGTTTAGTTCTTGATTAGCTTCATCTGTGTCATTGACAATGTAGGGAGACACGTCTTCCAGGTAGTCTTGTAAGATGATCAAAAGGCTACTTGTCAAGTTGGTCTTAATAGTTTTAAAAAGTTAAAATTCCAATCTTGTGTCTTGCTAATACCTTTTCTACCTATGCCGGAAACTACCATAGATGTTTCAATTCAAAATGTTTCCTGCTGGAGTTAGTAAGAATATTTATAAATTTATAATAAATTTGTTCATCTTCTTAATAAAATTAGTCTTGTACCACAGACTGACACAGATTTCCATAAATTAACTTTTCCAAGTTTACAAAATCAAACAAATCTTTGCCTCCATTTGTGAAAATTATTTAACACTTGTAAATTTTTTTCAGGAAACATTTACACAATTGGTATGGCATGTGACCATTGAAAGTAGATGAGTAGTTTCTCTGTATTCCTGATGTACATGAAAGATGAAATTAATGTCTGTGAAGTGTAATGTGCTAACACTTGTAATTGAGATAATCCCAGATTTCTAGAAAAAAAATGAAGAGTTATGATTAATTGTGGGTAGAACTTCTCAGACAGAGATCATAGCTTAAACTTAACTTGACAGTGTATTTTTAAAAACACAGTTCTGTGTTAGGGATTATATGTCCCTTAGTTTGTTGTGGCACTTGTGAAGTATGACATGGCCATAAAGGTGGGCAGATCTTATATCCTGGAAAGTCATGTATTTTACCTACCTCAAAATTGAAGTTGAGATTTTCCCTTCCTGCCTCACAAATCCTTCAGGAGGATAATAAAATCTCCCTTGGTTTATGGGCGAGCAAAGTTGACAAAGGAATACACTAGTAGATTCTCCTGAGACTTTTGTAAACATTGTAGAGGCAACTGGCCAGTCAAGGCTGTGCTTTCAGAAACTTGTAAAATCCCATATTCTAGCTGCTAAAAGTAACCCCAGCTGTTAAAACAAACACCCGTCCCAAAAGTCCACTGTTTACATTTCCTGGACATACAGAAAATATTTCTACTTATCAAGAATTTAAGCTCCACAAAAGCCTTAGAAGTTACTTCATCCCTGCAGTCTGAAAACTTGAATGGAAAGTTCTTAGGGGCTGCTCTTCTCTTCCTTTGGTATTATTTTGTAATAATAAATGTGCTCAAAATGGTGCTATCAGTCACCCTTGTTACAGGGAGTCGTAACTTAACTTCTGAGAAATAACTTCATATCATTTCTACTTTGCCCTAAACTAGTTCCTAAATAATCTGAAAGGCCATTTTCAGTACCTTTTGAATAAAGAACTATATAATTCATGTTTAAAAGAGTAGGTAATTCTCCTAGTCTCTGGTTAGTTCATATGCCTGCTATGTAATAAAAAAAAATAAACTGTCAAAAGCCTTCTAGTTTTGTCATATCACATTGAAAGAGAACAGTTCATAGAGCTTAGAGGGTGGCCATTATGATTAGCTTATCTCCATTCATGTGTGACTTGACAAGAAAAATTTCGAGGTGATCCTTTTATTGCTTGGTGTTTTAAGACTACACACTCAGTCTCATTGCTGCTGAAGGTAATGGCTTCTGTGTTTCTGTCACCATGATACCAGACAGGAGCAAAGAGGGGAGGTTTGTGGGGTATTGTTTCCCACATATTGGAGTTTCCCTAAAAACATTTGGCAGGGACTCAAAGTCATGGACCAGGGAGCTGAGAAGGAGCCCGAAGCTACAGAATAGGCCAAACTCTTAACTTTGAAAAGCCCTCCCCTAGAAACCTAGTTCTGAGCAGGCCCCACCTCCAAAATCTCTACATCCCCAGCAGTAGGAAATAAGTATCCCAAAAGCCAAAATAAAGACGTGGCTGGTCTGCTTTGGACTGATCTTGAATTGCCACAGAGGTAGTTGAATTCCAATTCTCCATTTAAATAGCAGTTATTGATTACTAAGAATTTCAAATTTAATCTCATCTGAGGCCTGTAGTAGATATCAATTCCTGTCTTTAAAAAAAACTACAAATACAACTCACCTAATTAACACTATTTAAGGAATAATTATTATAGAGGAATATTTAATTTTTACTTTAGGAACCATACTCTTTGTACTATAGTCTTCCCAAGTTGAAATCTACATTTACAAACCTTTTTACACTTGTTCCTAAAAAGATACTTTACCTAGGCAGTGAGTAGCATGATTTTGGCTTCAACTGGGGTTTCAATTCAGAATATAAGGTGAGTAGGATAGCAGTGTTGTGGTCACTTGGTATGTTGGGTGCCTTCTTTACTATGCTTCCAGTTTACTTAAAAATGATCACTGTATTTCTTTCAAAAGATCTCAAAGTGACATTGGAATAGATCTTTAAGCTTGACATATGCAGGAAAGGAAACCAGTTCAGAGGATATATGTACATGGCCTACTAAAATGATATTGGGAGTAAAGATAAGAAAAAAGTAAAGATGTAAGTATCAGAAGGTAGAGTGAGAGATTTTCACATACTGTGGGGTATGAGAACACTCAAGGTCAGTGTAATAGCCAGATACTACTGTTACAGTTTTATTTGACAAGGAAAGTGGCCTGAAGCAAATGTGGAGAGTTTGAGCATTTATTGCTAAGTGCTCAAACCTGGACTTTGTCAGTCTCTCTTCCAACATACTAAACTACTCACCATAAGCAAAATACTGTGAAAGTGGTGTGCAGAGATTAAGCTGTTTAAAAGAAATAAATGTTTAAGGCATAAATGGGTTGGAGAAGGCTGGCACTGTAGCAAGATTTCTGTGTACTATCCAAATGTTGAAACTAATCTGCAGGCCCATAGTGGTCTGGAAAGATTGGAAGCTGGAAATTTGAACGTTAAGAAATACTGAGAATTCATCAGTTAGCACTCTGAAAGGATACTTTGAAAGCATAGTTTCCCTTATGATTTCTTGATAGAAATCTTGTTTATTCGTTTTTTAACTAAATTTTACAAGTAAGGCCTATACTACTCCTTCAAGGATACATAATGATAACCTGTAATGCAAGTTATTAAGTTTATAATAACTTGAAATTAAGGTTGCACATCACAGAATAATAAAGCTAGGGTAGATTTTATGAATGCTTGGATTTATGAGGAAACATTCAGATCTTTGTGGCCGTTGTTCTTGCCTTCTCATAAACCAACACAAAGTCTGGTCATGGTTCTAAACAAATGTAGAAGAATTCTTTTCAGTATTTCAATCACAACTTATCTTTTCAGAAATCCACTTTGATTTTTCAGCAAGTATCAGAAAAAGACGCGACAACACTGCAGTGAACCTTCACTCCCTAAGTGGTTACTACGACCTGTCACACAGACCACGTATAACAGTAGTGTTTAGGATAATATTCAGGACCTTCAAAGAATGAAAATTGACACATTAACAACGCAGGGTCTAGGGTCCTCTATACTTCCTATTCCATTCATAGGTGAACTGCATTTGATAACTTGCATATGACAGATGTGCGAGGCAAAGAAATGTTATATTCAAAAGGCCTTAAGAATTGAGGTAACAGAGAAATAGAAAACTAGTAAAGAGAATTAAACATAATGAATGGTGTGAATTGGGAGTTTTAAAAAAGAATCATAGGGCTTTGAGCCATAGAAAAGGCTGGCTCGGTCATGCAAAAGATTTCACTGTAGGGATTTGTATGGTACAACCACTGTCTAATGTTGGAGCTATAAATACTTAAGGATGAACTGAAACCAGTTTTTGTTCTTATTCTGGCCTTCAAAATACAGATGTTCTTAGGAGAGAAGCCAGCACACTTTATATTTGGGTTGACCAGATCTGGCCCATCAGTCAGCTAAAAGGACCAAAGGGAAGATAGAATTATTGCAGGCTCAAGTGTTTCCTCGTGCAAGTTACGGTAACTGCAGATCTCTGGTATTGTGTACAAGTTGCATCATCTTGCTGAATACATTTCACACTCTGGTCCATGCTAGCCTGAGCTTTAGGAAGAAGGCAATTGTAGAAACATACTGCTGAACCAAGTTGACAGATTGTAGAGTCCTGAAAGCACTCCCTTTAGCGCATCTTTTAGAATCAAACTCTTGCCTCCCTTCTGGTATCACCAATCTGAAATTCTATCTGTTGTGGTCCCTCTGCTTCTCCCATCCAAGTGTGTGAGTTCATCCTCACAAGCAGTTAGACAGTCCCACATGCTGAGTTCATGTCTATTGTGATACAAGCCTCCTTCTGGAACTCCAGAACTATGAAAAGAACATTTTGCCCTCCAAAAGCACACAGAGTTACAGCAGAGGAGGTAGCATGCTGCTGTCATTATTTAAACGAACAAAAACACTGTAGACAAGATGAAAGAGCTAATAAAAATGTGTTCTTATTCCGGATTCTAAAACTTTAGCAGCTGGGCTTTCCCATGTGGACTAATGTTGCATAAATAACCCAGCCAGGAAACAGAGGGGCTATGAAAAAGTCTAACAGAGTGATAGATGGGCTTGGACCTGCTGCTCATCACACCCGGTGGAGTTACAAGGAAGTGGTCACTGGATGATACTGGTTAACTGATGCTGGCATGCACCATCAGCAGCTGCAGAATCTGTTACCTGGGTCATGTGTCACCCATTCCCCAGTAACTTTCTTTCGAAGTGTTCTTCGGAACACTCCATCTTTCCCCTCAGGACCTTTTCTGCTCCATCCAGATTTGTCTTTTCATCATGGAAATCAGAAACAAGATGGCTCTCAGAAAATAAGTGTTACCCTTAAAACTAAGCTTAATTTGTATATAATTTTAAAGGAGTAAATACCCTGTGTGTATTCTACTCTTATCCGTATAATCCAGCCAAACTGATGACACATTTTTTACTCGCCTTGTTTCAACAAAGTAAATGCCAAAAGGTGCATAAGAATGAGGAATAGGCATTCAGCCTAAAAAGGTAAGTGCAGCTCCTTTCCATGTGCGTGAGGCAGCATGGCAGCAGGGAACCACAGTTCAAGTGGTAGGTAGAATTTGGAAACAAGTGTCATCACAGATTTAGGTGAGGTTTGGATGACAAGGTTACAAAATCCTTCCCAGCCTTGACCTCTGACAAGAGCCCTAGATTTATAATACATGTTGCTATTCACTGGTCTCTACTATTTCCCAAAGTTTTTTAATTATGCACAAAAGGCTCTTGGAGAAAGAACAGTTTTTGGTTTTATTTGTTCCTCCAAGATAAAATCTTGGAAATACCATTGTAACTGGAATTTCTACATTTGTAAACTGTCCCCAATGCTTTATCTTCCCCAACGTTGCATGGGGCTCACTTTGATCTTTTAGAAGTCATAGGAGACCTGTAATTACAGCAGAGTTTACTCCAGTAGGGCAAGTGGATGGGCTTCTTTTTTTGTTCTTTTTTTTTAATTGGATATTTTATTTATTTACATTTTAGATGCTATCCCCTTTCCCATTTTCCCCTCCCTAGAACCCTGCTGTCCCATATCCCCTCCTCCTTTTTGCTTTTATACCACTTTAATTACATGCAAGTATTAAGGTCAGTTTTAGATTGAGGAACTAGCAACACAATAGATGCAAATAGTCAAGGAAAAAGCAAGGCGATAAACCCAGATAGTCAAAAAATAAGCAAGGCAATAAACAAAATTTCATGAACACTCCCTTGATCACTGTTTCTAAGGGTTTATCAGGATGACCAAAATATCTGAGCCAACTTCCCTATCCTAGCCCAAAGTCATTTTCATTTCTGAAGCATACTTCCTTGTTCTAGCCTAAACTTTAGATTCCTGCCTGAAATTACTTCCTTGTTCTAGCCTAATGTCAGATTCCTAAGAGTATCCATAAGCATGAGCTCACCTGTGGGCTATACTCTGCCAAGAGGATATCCACAACAAACTGGAAGAAGGCTAGGGGACAACAGAAAGAATACTGTTAGGATGTCAATGGATTAATATTTTCTACATTACTTTCTCTGCCTCCCATTATTTGTATTTCCTGTGATCCAAGGACACACACTAACATTGCTGTCCCTGTGGTTGCTCTAGAATGACATGAATCACTAAGTAAAAGATGATTCCTGCTTCCCTCAGAATCCCAAACCCCTACTGAAAGGGATCAATAGGCTCCCTTTAGAATCACATGGTGCAACTTTTGTAACATGACTTCTTTTCACCTTAAAAAAAAAAATCAAATATTTGATTCACAGGGAATGTACACTAAGAGAAAAGGATTTCTAGTAACAGTGCCATGCGTTATTAATTATGCAAAGACATCTGTAAATATTTTTAAAAACTATTTTCACCAAATGAAATGAAATTGGGCATACTGGCCTGAGCTTTATCTTCCTTTCCAGCTAGCAATATCATAAACATCTATGCACAACTTACAGAAATTTGCTATTACACCATATACCATATGTTAGACTTCGGCACACCGCA